AAATATCTTAACATAAAACCACACTGCCCTAAGGCCCATAAGCCATTATATTCTTCTTAAGCACCTTCATAAATACCACAACCGTAACACTAACTCTGAAAATACCTTATGTGAATTTAAAATTGTTCCTCTTTCCTTTATTATACTGAAATGTAGAATCCATAGTCAAATAGAATTACCGCGCGTCCCGACACCATTAAATGTAAATCTCAGATTCTATCCATACACAAATCCAAAAAAATTCTCGATTGCTATATATAAATCTCGAACCCATTAGAACCTTCTAGAGAGTCATCCACTATGCTCAAATCTAATTGCACTGCCCAAACAGAATGAAAGACATGTGCTCCCTTAACTTAACAACACTCAAAGAGATAACCTTGCTTTAATACTGCTAATCAATTCATACTACGTGTGTACTACATCCAACTCATAAAGTGCAATATAATTTATATCCGGGAATTTGTTTACTCGAGTCATCCTCGATCTCAATCTCTGCAAGTCATAAATAATTCACATGTATGCCTCCAACCTAAACCAGTACAACACATAACCATGAAATCAAATCGTCAATAACAGGCTCCCCCACTTGGCTCAAAGCCATAGAACAAAAAATTCCATAACTCATAATATCCATGCTCTATTACTACCATAATACTGCAGTTAGTTCAACAAAAATTATTCACAAGCTCAGGTAACACAAAACCATAAAATACCTCAATTCACCTGCTAAGCTCGCCTTCATTCTCGTGATGGTTAAGTCAACTTTCTCAACTAATCCAAACTCAAATCTCAACACATATACCCCGCTGGGAGAAAAGAAACACGCCACTCAACATTATAAGGAACGCACATGCGTAGATTACTCCGCAAGAGATAACCCACCTGCTTAGCCTCAAATTGGAATCTTGCTATACCCTTTCGCAACCACAATTACTACAGAATCACTTAATATTTCTGAGTTTGAACTTATCAACACGACATGAAAATCTACTTCGCTCTGTAATTAAACAGCATGACATATCCCTCAACGCACTCACAACTCAAGACCGTACGTCACATCAAAACAGGAGTCAAGTAACCAATAGTAAACTCTTGAATCACAAGTAAACTTTATTTGTCTCATTCAACCCATAAGAACACATCCCGCATTCATATCATACTTATCATATAGTCATTCAACCGCTCATCGAGCCACAAATTCCACTCATAGGAATACTACCAAACGCATAAGTCCAATCGCACAGGTTCTCACAATCGAAACTACCAAGCTTAAGCTGCGGTCTAACTCCGGCCTCAAGTCCTCCAGACTGGCCCATCAACAAAACACAGAATACTCATCTTGAACCTCATTCATGGAATCACAAGCCAGCGATGCACAGCTGATACTGAGCACTCACATGCGCACACGAATGCGTGGAAGAAATTCAAAGAGTTATATTTCAAGATGAATCAATTTCGCACGATAGAATACAAGAAAGTAAATTTTTTCCTAAGGGTTCGGTAGCCTCTCAAAGATAAGTACAGACGTCTCCGTACCAATCCGCAAGACTCTACTAAACCTGCTTATGACTCATGAGACCTATGTAACCTAGGCTCTGATATCAACTTGTCACGACCCAATATCTCACTTGTTGTGATAGCGCCTATCTCAATACTAGGCAAGCCAACAATCTCAATAAACTACCATATCTTTTAAGTGTGAAAACATAATATTTAAATTCAGCGGAAGAAATCTCATAATTACATATATAAACACTCGCAAAATCCGGTACCACTGAGTACATGAGTATCTAATATGAATACAAAGTGTGATTGACAAAACACTGTCTGAAAGTATAAAACAATAAAATAATTGAAATAAAGGGAGTCAAGGTCACGGACTCCAGACAGCTACCTTGATAGTTTCCAACTGAAAGCACTCTAAGATCTAACAGTCGATGTGTCCGAAAGCACCTGGATCTGCACACGAGGTGCAGAGTGCAGTATGAGTACAACAACCTAAATAAGTAACAGGACTAACCTTTGGGCTGAAAGTAGTGACGAGCGCCGCAGGTACAGTCCAGTAAAAATAATAACAATACATAAATGTAGGCATGCTTTAAAATTCAACAGTTGCTTTCAGTACAAATAAAACAGATCAATTCTGAACAATACGAGGAATATGACATCTCTGTATCTACATGCCAATGTACATACTGTATGTGATGCACCTTAGTGTCACAATCTAAAATACAAATCACTCAGTACTGTATATGGCCAATCCAGCCCAGGGGAAGATCCATCCACAAATATCAATGATTCGGACAAGATCCAGGTCCAGAAAAAATCCATCCCTCAATATAAATGCTTCGGGCAAGATCCATGCCCAAGGAAGATTCATCCCTCAATATAAATGCTTCGGGAAAGATCCATGCCCAGGGAAGATCCATCCCTCAATATAAATGCTTCGGACAAGATCCATGTCCAGGAAAAATCCATCCCTCAATATAAATGCTTCGGGCAAGATCCATTCCCAGGGAGGATCCATCCCTCAATATAAATGCTTCGGGCAAGATCCATGCCCAGGGAAGATCCATCCCTCAATATAAATGCTTTGGACAAGATCCATGTCCAGGAAAAATTCATCCCTCAATATAAATGCTTCGGGCAAGATCCATGCCTAGGGAAGATCCATCCGTCAATGTAAATACTTCGGGCAAGATCCATTCCCAAGAAAAATTCATCCCTCAATATAAATGCTTCGGGCAAGATCCATGCCTAGGGAAGATCCATCCCTCAATATAAATCAACTGCGCTCACTGGGGTGTGTGCAGACTCCGANTATATATAGCCAATATGGTCTACTGCGGCGTGCAGCTCGATCCCATAAATATTCTCACAATTAGGCCCTCAGCCTCATTCCGTCGTCAATCTCTCCAGTCTCCTGGGCTCAAAATGTCATGAAAATCATCCCAAAATGATAATATGATGTATCAATAAATAGTATCATAGACAGAGATATGATATGAAATGAATGAACATGACTGAGTATGGAATTACAATTTAAAACAATCAATTCAACATCAACGCGACCCCATGGGTCCCAAAAATATCGGTACGTAGCCTAAACATGATCTTTAATAGGAGTCTCATCTAAATTTCTCTAACACGTGGAGGATACACGGATAATAACATGATTCTTTAATTTTTCAATTCAATAGTATTTATTCAAGTCACAATTTCTATGGTGCACGTCCTTACGCTCGTTAACTATCGTGTGTGTCACCTCCAAGCAATTTATATAATACCAAATTCGGGGATTCATACCCTCAGAACCAAGTTTAGAAGTGTTACTTACCTCAATCCGAGTAAAACTCTACTCTAAAATGACTTTGCCTCTCAAATCGGTCTCCAAACGTCCCGAATCTAGCCATAAGCAGTACAATACAATCAATATAGGCTAAAGGAATCAATTACATAAGAAAAATACGAAATTATAGCAATAAATCTTAAATCGGCACAAACCCGGCCCCCGGATCCACGTCTCGAAATCCGACAAAAGTCACAAAACCCGAAAGCCCATTCACTCACGAGTCTAACCATACCAAATTTACTCAAATCCGATAACATAATCCCATTCAAAACCTCAAAATTCTAGCCCAAGAACTCTTCCTCATTTTTCCCAAATTTCCATCTCAAAACACTAATTAAATAATAAAAATAATGATATATTCGTGTATATTGACCAAATCCGAGTTAGAATCACTTACCTCGATGTTTTTCCTTGAGAATCTCTCAAAAATCGCCACTCTCCAAGCTCTAATTTGTCAAAAATGGAAAAATGGGACGAAACCCATGTTTTATAACTTAAAGTTTCTGTCCAGGTGCTGCCCTCGATTTTCATGACCTCGATTTCCTGCCCTTGATTTTCATGACCTCGATTTCCAGCCTCGATTTTCCCGACCTCGATTTTTCCTGACCTCGATTTTCAGCAGATATTTCCTGCAGAAAAAAAAATTCCAGCAGTTGTTTAAGTCCAAATTTTGATCTGTTAACCATCCGAAGCTCACCTGAGGCCCTCAGTACCTCAACCAAATACACCAATAAGTCCTAAAATATCATACGAACTTAGTTGAAACCTCAAATCACATGAAACAATGCTAAAACCACGAATCATACCCCAATTCAAGCTTAAGGAACTTAAAAAATTTTAACTTCTACATTCGATGCTGAAACCTATCAAATCAATTCCGATTGACCTCAAATTTTGCACACAAGTCATAAATGACATAACGGATCTATAAAAATTTTCAGAACTGGATTCCGACCCCAATAACAAAAAGTCAACTCTCCGGTCAAACTTCCCAAAAATTCAACTTTCGCCATTTCAAACCAAATTTCACTACGGACTTTCAAATAATTTTTCGGACAGGTTCCTAAGTCCAAAATTATCATACGGAGCTATTGAAATCATCAAAACTCCATTCCGGGGTTGTTTACACCTAAGTCGACATCCAATCACTATTTTAACTTAAGCTTTAAACCTTGGAACTAAGTGTTCTAGTTTATTCCAAAACCTCACCAGACCCGAACCAATTACCCAAGCAAATCACACAGCAACTGTAAAGCATAAATTGAGCAGTAAATAAGGAAAACAGGGTGGTAATACTCAAAACGGCCGGCCGGGTCGTTACATATAGATGGAGGAATTATTTTGTATTTAGGGGGTTTTGTGAAGATGCTAGCACTTCCAATTGTCGTTAAAGTTTTTATATTACACATTAGCAGTAAGAATATTACATTAGCAGCCTGATTATAAAGCGTTAAAACCCAAGCATGCAACTAATATGCACCTATGAAAGTCTTGATAAACAGTACCACATACAATACATTAACAAAAACTTTTACAAAAATACTTATCAATATACACTCATAATGAAGAATATGTATAAAAGTGTTACAGTGTACACTTGATAAATCCTCGAGGATATATCATATAAGTATAAATCCCGTCTATCTTAGGAGTAAATTAAACCACAAAATTAAATGTGGTTTTTTATTGGTAAAATGAATTTATATCCTTATTCATCTTTCTTAGGCATAATCACACATGCCATAGAAACAATATCCACCGGGCATGCACCTACTATTGCAGTATCCACAATGCCTTTTGTCAAAAGACAAATTTACACATTCTCCTCTGCAACAAGTCTCTGTGAAACGGCACTTTCTCTTGCATGCACCACAGTGGTGATCATCGTACCCTAAATCCATGCACTTGTTGTTGCAGCACGTCGAGTTTCGCCCTTCCAGCACGTGGCAGATTTCATTATCTTTATGGCAATGATCGGCTGCCCTAGGGTTCCTTTCTTTCTCAGCAAGAAAACGACTTGTTCTCCTCTTCAATTGAGGTACTTCCGCCGGAGTTGCTGAAAGTTGTTTCCCATCCTCGTGAAATCCTGAATTTTTCGGGTTGGTAGATTTGTCCATACGTTGCATGGTGAGCAAAGAGATAGTGAGAGCCATTGTAACGGCAATAACAACCATTAATTTGAAAAACTTCATCTTTTCCGAACGTGAAAATGATCGATAATAGTGCTACTCGAAATCTTGGTTTAAAGAATCGATAATAATGGTATGTGAAATCTTCGTTTTCGCTCTTGACTCAAAGAAGGATAGGAGAAGGAGGAGAAAAGATTGTTTTGTTTTGTGAAGGATATAAGATTGGGAGAGATAGAGGTGTTTATATACCTTATAGGGTGGAAGAAAGGGGAAGTTGACTTTTGAAAGTGATGGTGGAGTGTGATAAAGAAGCAAGAGCGTAACATATTGACTTATGAAAGAAATGAATTAATAAGTAATTATTGCAAATCGTTGCTTGTAAAATGGCCGACTTGAGCTGATTATTCTGAAAATATATTAGGGTTTGCATGTTTAAGATAGTAACTTCAAGTCAAAATATATAGGGTTAATTAAGCGTTGATAATATTGTCTGTAATTATACGTCACCACATCTGCATGCACTTGAGGTTTCCTTGAAATGGCTATAAAGTGATTTAGAGGGAATTTAACTCGTTTCGTATATATGATTGTGGAGTATAAGTTAGTTTTTTTCTTTTTTGACAATTCAATGGGCAGTAAAGTAAAGGAAAAGTCTTGTGTCTGGGCTATTGTATGAAGCAAGACAATACTATTATACTGATACATTATTTGGTTACTAATATTTGACTTTTTGGACCTTTCTGAATATAGAAAGTAGAAGGGTCGTAACATCTCAAAGTTACAAATGGTAGAAGGAAAAAATGAAAAGACAAATAAATGGAATTTATCCCCCAAAGTGTGGCTTAAAAGAAAAATATATAATGCATGGTTCTTGGAACTTGACTTGTGTTGAGTAACTTCGACATGTGAGTTTTGTCCCAAAGTCTTAGACCACACTAAAGTTCTATTTTAAAGAACGTATGCTCAAATTTTAGACCATTAATGTGTGTACTTAAATATTTCGTTTTCAATAAAAATTCTGATGTATACAAACAACTGGTTCCGTGACAAATTAATTAGATTAATTATGGTTAGTTATATGAATATATATGTATATTTCTTTTTTTTGTTCATGGTTATATGAATATCCATTTCGACTTTAAATAATATGCAAAAGAAAATTTTACTTGTAACCAATTTGAATGTCATGTTAATTTCTTCTATTAATTTTTGTTACTCCCATTTTCTATAAAAGTTGCATGCTTCTTGCAAACTCTAGCTACGACATTGATTGCTTATAATACTCTTTGCCTATAATATTCATGAGAAATACGCATTTTATTAACATTTTCCTGTTAGTAACTAATACGATGAAATAAAACGCTTAACTAAGAGAGAAAGAAAGAGAGAGTAGAAATACTAGAAAGAATTTAATTTATATGCTTCAACATTTAAGTTTAAGAGGGTGTTTGGATTGTATTTTAAGCTGGTCAAACCAGCTTTTAAGCTCTTTTTAGTTTTTTCATTGTTTGGTAAAGTTAAAAAGTACATAAAATAAGTTAAAAACTGCTTATAACAAGTCAAAAGCAATAAGTTGGACAACCCCAACTTATTATTTTTCGGCTTAAAATAAAGCTATTTCTATTGAAAAGTCACTTTTTAAGCCAATCCAAAGAATAATTTTGTGCCTGAAAGGTTAAATAATGTCGCAACCTTCAAAGCTTTCGGGAGAATAATGAAAGGGGAACCCCCAAAATTGAAAATTGAAGGAGTAATTGAATTAAAAAATAAGTAAATTCAGAAAAAGAACATGAACAAGTAGATGTTGTTCGAAATTTGAAGAAGAAGCATTCAAAATTTACTTTTTGTTGATGATCTAGTTGACTAGTTCTAGTCTTTGCACTCTTTCAATCAGTAGCGAACGCAGGATGTTTTGTAAGCGGTGTCATAATTTTAAATAGTGAACAACTAACAATTCACTTTAACAATATCATACTTAAAAAAATACCGTTCAAATCATAATAATAAACCGCAATTCAGCTATATTACGACAACTCTTACCTATGAATTTTTATTTATAAAAATGTATCAAAATAACCTCATTAGTAATAATATTAAACACCTTTTTTATATAAAGAACCAAGAAATCACACAAAAAAATTATCATCTATTTGATTCCACAAAGCGTTCTTAATCAATTTCATGGCAGTAGAGAAGATGAAAGGACAACAAGAAGATTAAAAAAACTTGAAATATCAGGCAAATAATTTATTATCGCTATATTAACCAAATTTAACTCTTGACATATTGGTCGAGAGTCTCTCTTATAACACTAATAGGCCAGTCGTTCAAACTCCACCGAACACAATTTCTATTTCGTACATGACGCAAAAAATAATTTAAAACGGAAAAATGAAGCTGCCTGGTTTCGAACCTCTGACATCTTCCAAACATCTGCGGCGCTTGACCAAATCTGCTACACAGCCAATGTGTCAAGTGGTGTCACGTTTACTCTATTTAATCTATTTTTATTTCTGCATTTTAATTATATATACATATTTTTCCGGCAAAGCGGTGTCACGTGACACCGCTTCGCCTAAGGTAGATCCGCCCCTGCTCCAATTAGGATTTTTGCATATTATAAGTTACACACACCTTGCATTTAGGGTGTCAATGGTTCGGTTCGGTTCGGTCGGTTATTTTATAAAATTTGTATCATATCAATTTTTTGATTATTCTATTATGTATAACCAAAATTAGACTTTTTAAAACCGTCTCAATCATATCGGTTGCTCTTTGGTATCGGTACGGTTCGGTTAATTTTTGGCTATTTTTGTAACGTCATATAAACGTCACTAGTAGAAGTAGAATGCAATAGCATACATAATTTTGTAGGACTTCTAGAACTGTGTAGACATTTTTACTGTTTAAATGGTAATGAATTAAGAAAACTTAAAAGATGGCCAGAGTATAGATCCATCAACTATTTATAGCAGTATAAAAGAAACTAAACAACGACAAAGAAAATATAAATCACACGAGCGAAAAGATATTAACCTGTGTGGGACAAGAATAAAGTCTATAAAAGATTAAATAATTAAAAAGATAAATCTAATCATACGAAAGGAAATATACTCAATACATTGTAATTTGCTACTCATAATCGCTAGAATACCTTGTGTCTTGCTAGTGAATATGCTGAAAATAATTTAATTTCAATAGGAGTAGCATAATAGATTTGGAAATTAGGATTTTGAGTTTAATTACTTGTTGGCTTATAGATGTTTTCATAATTACAAGGCCCAAGGAAAAATTTAATGCTTTATATTTTTTAAGCTTAAGGTATAAATATATTTTTCACATGTAAATTATTCGGTACGGTTCGGTATTTTTTCAGTTTATTTTCGTAAAATAATAATCTATCCTAATTATCGGTACGATTTTATATAAAAACCTATAATTTTATTAAAAATACCTGAAAATTAGTTCAATACGATATGATTCGATCGATTTAGTCGGTTTTTAAGTATCTGTTTATACCCCTACCTTACATCATATACTCATTCACAGTATATCTTACTTTTCCACAATATAATAGTTAGATATATTCAGAACATTGTATTCCCTGTACTCTCTTCATTGCACTAAAATGGAAACAATTTTCTATTTTCTCTCGTCTTTAGTTGGACTATTCCAGAATTATTGTGACAAGTTCATGTATCTACACTATGTACGCAGACGGTTTCTACTATTTCAGAAATTTTCCAAACTCAAACTTTCCCATTTTCTTATCTAATGTCAAATTTATTTATTATTTTTTGGCATAATTTTACTTACACTCTTAGAGTTTTGATACATAAAGGGGACACGCTATTTGGCGAGTGAAACAATCTTTCCTTTCGAGCTATCGTTTTTTTCAAACATTTTGAAAGGTCTTTAATTGTAAAATTCTAATGTATAGATATTCAGGTAGTTCTACATATGTTTCAGAAAATATATAAGAAATTGACGTTTGAATTCATAACGAAATTTAGATGCGTTGACCTTAATACTGCGAACCAAACCATTTTTTTTAGGGACATATGAGATAATATAGTTTTTTCCTGCCTGATTTATTTATCCACTTTGATTACAAGTAAGTAGTAAACAAATGGTCCCCTAGCGATCTTATGGACTTAACTTCCTCCATAATTTTGCTCCTAATATTGTTCCCTACAACCCTTGCACAAATGCCAGAAACAATTTNGTAGGGTTCTAGCAAATTTGATCATATATTTTTGTCATATTTGGGAATTAAAATCTTGCATATGACAGAATTGTTTATACATTACTACATTTCTCATAATTGTTGAATAATTGCAAAGTTTATCTTAAAAATAATCGGACCAAACCAAGGTTGACTGTTGAAAGTAAAATGGGCAAAGGAGTTCTTGCAAGAAGAGAGTTCATTACCAACAAGAAAGCTCTAACTCTTGGAATACTGTAAACAAAAGGCTCCAATGGAGTCTTGTTTGCGTTACAAGTTAGAGTAACTTGTAAATCAAATAGTCGTATTAGGAGTACGGGAGAGTATTGAATTACAGTCTTGTAATTGATACATATTTGACTCATTGTTCTAGTGGAATTGAAGTTGAAAATCCTACGTGGTAAGTCATGATTTTTGCACCTTTTAAGCCGGGTGATTTTTCACGTAAAAAGTGTTGTGTTTACTTACTTCAAGTTTAAGGAACACGGTAAAGAACCAAGTTCTTTAGTGAATCATATGGGCACTCAAATTAACAATTGGTATCAGCGTAGGTTCTCTCACACACAGGTTAACACCTAGAGAGATCTTGGAAGCAAGATGAGTGCTCCACCCAGAATTAATGAAGGACAATCAACTACTAGACCACCCATGTTCAATAAAAAATATTACAATTGGTGGAAAGCAAGAATGAAGACTTCCTAGCAGCTGAAAACTATGAACTATTTACCTGTAACGATCCGGCCGGTTGTTTTGAGTATTACAACTCCGTTCCCCCATTAACTGCTCAATTTATGCTTTACATTCGTTATGTGACTTGTCGGGGGTAATTGGTTCGGTTCTGGTGAGGTTTTTGAATGATTTGGAACACCTAGTTCTAAGGTTTCAAAATTAAGTTGAAAAGATTGACCAGATGTTGACGTATGTGTAGTGACCCCAGAGAATTTTTGCTAAGGAAATTAAGGTTTTG